GAGCCACCCAGGTGCCCCTGACTACTATAGTTTTGTAATGTAGTTTGAAATCTGGAATTGTGATGCCTCCAGCTTTTTCTTTTTTTAAAATTGCTTTGGCTATTTGAGGTCTTTTGTAGCTCCATTACAAATTTTAGGGTACTTTGTTTTATTCCAGTGAAAAAATGCTATTGTCAATTAGATAAGGATTGCATTGAATTTTAGATTGTTTTGGGAAGTATGGACGTTTTAACAGTATTAATTCTTCCAATCCATGAACACAGAATACCTTTCCATTTATTTGCATCTTCTTTAATTTCTTTCATCAATGATTCTCTTTCTGACATGTTGTCAGAAGACCAGGGTAGTGGCCTAACTGTACATCACAATGACTACCTCATTCAGTTTGCTTCATCTCATCACATAGGCATTTTATCATCTCAGATCATAACAAGAAGAAGGGTGAATACAATACAATAAAATATTTTGAGAGAGAGACCATGTTCACATTATCTCTATTACAGTATGTTGTTATATATATATATTTTTAAAGATTTATTTATTTATTTTGAGAGAGTGAGAGAGAGAGAGAGAGTACATGAGAGGGGGGATGGTTAGAGGGAGAAGCAGGCTCCCTGCTGAGCAGGGAGCCCGATGCGGGACTCGATCCCGGGACTCCAGGATCATGACCTGAGCCGAAGGCAGTCGCCTAACCAACTGAGCCACCCAGGTGCCCCATGTTGTTATATTTTATTATTAGTTAATTGTTGCTAATGTCTTACGGTGCCTTATTTATGAAATAAATAAATTTATAAAATAAACTTTATCATAGGTATGTATAGGAAAGAACTGTGTGTGTGTGTGTGTGTGTGTCTGTGTATAGGATTGGTACCAGTTATAGTTTCGAGCAGCCTTTGGGACTCTTGGAACATATCTCCTGCAGGTAAGTGGGGACTACTGTACAGGTCTTTCACCTTCTTGGTTAAATTTGATGCAATTGTAAATGGGATTTTTAAATTTATCTTTCTTATGGTTTGTTATCCTGTATTGAAATGCAACAGATTTTTGTATCCTGCAACATTACTGAATTCGTTTATTCTAAGGATTTTTTGGTGGAGTCTAG